ATTAAAGTTAAAAACACTAATAATTAATCACACTGATTCACTTTATTCCGCTCCGAAGCTTCGCTTGTCTCGCCGAATCCAATACTTCCTCGATCGCATCATGCAGCGCCTATTTATATAAATTAGCAGCGAAATATCCAGAATATTCAAGTAAACACGCGCAAGGTACCGAGAGTTCGTGTTTCAATTTCAAGAAGTTTAGTTCTTCGGTTCGAGACTAGATGGCGCTAGTGCCGTCAACTTGAGCGCGTAACAATATTTTACTTTAATTTTAGTACAGTTAAAAGATGTGAGTGATTAAAATGAAACCCTACAATTCTTCTACTCTTTATCAGCCCGCCTCTCAGATTATAGGAAGGATTGGTTAAAACGATCTTTACGTGGCCATGCTGCAGTTATATTAGAAGTATAGTTGTAGCACGAATGGGTCGGCTCGACCGGGGAAGGACCACGCTCTCACAGAATACCGGCGTGAAACAGTAGCTTAATTAGTTTCGTATGGTGAGTGTGGAGAACCGAATACCCTTTTTATTGAAAACGAGGCATTCCATCTTAGTCTTCACGGGTGACAACACATCTGCATTTTGATACGTAATCGAGGGTAGATGTAGATGTCTATGGGTCACAGCAACCACTTACCATCAGGTGAACAAGCTCGTTTGTCACCCTATCCTATAAAAAAAAACGATTTAATGGCTGTCCGATATATTATGGTGGTATAATAATGTAACGTAAATAACTAGATCGAAGATAGAACGCAGTACAAAGGTGCCAAACTTCTGGTACGGCGATTGCCAATCCGCCTGCCAAGCGATAACAGCAAAATTTTTCTGTAACCGTAAAATCCTAAGTCCAGCAGTGGAATTTTAACAGTACTAACCATTTTTTTTTCACTTTTTATGATTTGAAAGAACATTTTAAAGTTTTGTTTGCTGTTTATACTTTGCCTTTACTAAACGTAAACCCTTAATTTGAGGTACCATTATGCCTCTGCATAGACGAAATTCGCCTTTGGAGTAACTTGAAACAAGCTGGCGACAAAAGATGGAAATAATTTGTGTTGACAAACAAGCACACCGTCAATCTGATGGTGAGTGGATGCTGTGGCCCACATACACCTACATCTTTGAATTTTTAAATTGTTGATTAAAAATTAAAATAGATGGATAATACATAATATTTTACCCCTAAAACTAAGATGGAATGCCTCGTTATCAGTTAAAAGTCTCCGGTTCTCTACACTCACCATCTGCAGCTGATATTCTGTGGGTGTAGTCCTTCTCCATTCGAGCCGATCTATTCACGCTGCAGCCACCAGTTAGGTTTAAATAAATGAATAGATTCCAATGCTCTTATTACAGTACGTGGTTTATTGGCAGTCATGGTTTTAATATGGTTCAAAAAGAGTATTTTTTACTAAAGAAGTACCAACCACCGCACCACAGTTTCCGAAACTCGATTTTTGCTGTCAAATTCTATTGGTACCATAGCGGTAATGCCTCTCAGACCGACTCGTCGACCACGTCCAAATGGCTGCAGACTTCGTACTACAACAGGTCCCATCCACAGAGATCGTGATCCCTGTGGATCGATAATACGGGTAGAACTGCTTATGACTTTGCCTTAGCATATTATCTGACAAAACTGGTTACTTCGTCTACGCGGATCTTAGATGTGGAGGCTCATGTACCTTCTCTGTTGGACCCTCTGCTGACCTCTCGTCCGAACGGATATCAGGTCTCCATTGATACCCTTCTTGGCTCTTCGGGCCAAGAAGGGCATCATCGTCTGATCCAGAGAACGGTGCCGTAGGCCGTCTGGTACAGGATGTGCTCTTTGTTTACATCCTACCCTTGAGGGTAGATTTGCTTCTCGCTGGATGATCCCAAAGTTGTCGCAGATGTGGTACTTCAGGGAATGAAACTTTTTATTTCATCAAAAGTGGTGCCTATCGGAGGCAGAACTGTGCTATAGTTTGGTTACTATTTTGGGCTAGGCTGACACATCAACGTCTGGAGATGCAAACACCAGCGCTCTTAGAAAGAAATATAATCCCGCCTCCAGGTCCTTCAAAAGTGTCATTGCAAGGGCAAAGTTAGAACACATCGGCAGAATTTGCGAGAAAATAGTTTGACTTCTTTCAGGAATACGTGCCTTCTGGTCTCTCGCCAAGACTCTTGAAGGGAACTTCTGATGGAGTTCGCCTTTTGTGCTGAAGACGTATGCTCCGGAGTTAGCACCGGTTATAAGGCGTCTTTTCCAGTACTTTTACCCCCTAGCTGTTGACCCGAACTCATGTAAGACAGGTTTGGTGCAACGGATCCCTAAAAAAGCTACCGCTTAGTTCTGTCCAATTACAAGCCCATCACTATCACCTTCTTGTTCTCCAAAACAATGGAAACATTTATAGACTGCCAGGTCATGATATACCTTAATCACCTGATAAGTGACCGCCAGTATGGTTCACATCGGGATCGCTGGTGATCTTCTGGCAATAGAGTCCAAGGCCGTTAGTTCCGACATAGAGAAGGCATTCAATCGGGTTTGGTACAAAACGCATCTTTCGAATTATTTTTATGGATCAAGCTTGTGTCTTAGGTCCAGAGTTTGTTGAACAAAGTCTCGGATTTGGGGCGACTAAATCTAGTCCAGTTCAATTCCAAGAAGACACCAATTTACGAGGCCAAATCAGCCTCTAAAAAGCTTGGCGTTCTCAGCAGAGCAGGAGAGTATTTCATGCCGGCACACCACCTGTAACGTGACAAGGCGAGGGTTCGGTTCCACATGGAATACTTTTGCCGTCTTTTGGCTGGTGCTCCCCAGTGCCAGTTTCTTCAATTTGATAGCATCAAAAAAGGAGCCTACTCTTTTTAAAAGGCTGACAACGCAACTGAGATTCCCCTGGTGTTTCAGTTATTGATGGTTGACGGTTGACACTTACCATCAGGTGAGTTTCATGCTCGTATACCCACTCTTCTATAAAAAATATTATAAACGTTATCTACATAAGGCTACGTCGTTATCGTTTAATTTTTTAATGCAATCGACGCAAACTATTTCCAAAATAGGCCTCGGTGTCTTTAAGATGGCTTGTTAAATAAATGATGTAGCGTTTAAAAAACCTTTTAGATTACGCTACGTGACCTCGTACTATAATATAGCTTCTCTTCGTGCTCATTTTCGTAAAGTTACAGCCTATATACGTCACACTGCTGAGCACAGGCCTCCCTCAATTCTGAGAGGGTTTTAGGGCAAGAAACTATCCGCCGCGCTGCTCCTATGCTTGTTAGCGAACTTCACATATCTTCTTAATATTTTTTTCTTATTTCTTAGATATGCAAGTTTTCTCACGATGTTTTCCTTCACCGCCAAGCACGTGGTAAATCAGTACAAAATTGCTTTCGTTACTCGCCTACTAAGAAATTCACAGGGAGCGCTAACCGTATGATCTACCACGGCTCAATTTCATACCACCTGCATATCTGATAAATAAATTTTTGATTTTCGACATTGAGCTACTTCATTATACTCTCAAAATTATGGGAGATTTGTGCCCAGCAGTGGGACGTAATTAATGGTAACGTAATAGACAGTTAGTGTCCGTATAAGACTATTCACTACCTCATATTATCCCGTGATTATTGTAAGAAGCGACAGAGGGAAATAAATACACTGATGAACAACAGCATCTTTCTGATAACAGCGAACTAAATATAAAGAACTGCGGTTGCCAATCAGCTGTCCACTCGTGGCCACTATGGCTTATGTTCCTATGAGGCAATCTACTTGTCGGATGTAATGATAACTAACTTTAAAAATGGAGACATACCGTTTTTGGTGTACGTTTTACAGACTCTTTTTCAACCGGAGGACTAGATAAATGCCTCACAGCCAGTTTCAATTAATACTGGCTGGAAAGATGTTTAAAGAAAAGATTTTAAGAGAATTTATTGTTGTCACGATGTGCCTATACAACTCAGCTAGACACCCGATAGGATGAAATGTAGCTGGGACTGACTGTACCTTTTAAAAATTGACGAAATCATTACATTGTATTCTCGTACTTCGTCCTCCAAAAGTGGACGGTTTATAATTTTTTATAAGAACAATATAAGAAGAATTATGGCTGTCTATACATTTATATGTTGTAATCTTAAATTATCTCTTCATTGTACTTTTTTTGCTGGGTGTTTGAAAATGGCAGTACAACTGGTAAAACTTTATTAATTTTAGGAGTGTTCTAGTTCTTAAAATAATTAATATAAAATAAAAATGGAAGTAAGATGTAAAAAATATTTTCTCCCGTGTCATTATCCCGGGAGAAAACAGAGGATCACGTTTGTATAACTAAACGCCGCCCGGATATTCTGTTATTTCTAGTTATGATGGCTGCCTTTGAACCGGAACCATAGATGCACTGCCGCTTGGTGGCATAAGCAGGTAGGAGGTAAGTGGTACCTAGACAAACACCTAGGTCTTTTAGAAGAAACAAATACATATTTTATAAAAACATTAGAATATTTTGTTCAGTATACTAAAATATTTTTCTTTTATTAAACAATATTTATACGTGGTAGAGCCATGTTGCAATTATATTAGTAGTATAGTTGTATCACGAATCGGCTCAGCTCGACTGGGGAAGGACCACACTCTGACAGAATACCACCGTAAAATATTAGCTCAATGCTACTGTGTTTCATACGGTGAGTGTAGAGATCCGGAGACCTTTTTACTGGGAACGAGGCATTCCATCGTAGTTCTCTCGGGTGACAACACATCTGCATTTTGATTCGTAATCGAGAATAGATGTAGATGTCTATGGGCCACAGCAATCACTTACCATCAGGTGAACTGTGTGCTCGTTTGCCACCATTATACTATTAAATAACCCAGGCGAACACCTAGGTCTTTTTGAAGAAACACAAATTTTGCACAAACTTTAGGATATTTTGTTTAATATACTAAAATATTTTTCTGTTATTAAATAATAAGTGACTTACTCCTCCCGTGGCAAAAGGGTCGACTCCCCGTTTCGATAACAGCAGCTTGACAATGTCTTCCCGCGAATACATCGCGGATATGTGCAGCACATTGTAGTTGTCCTGTAACAATATTGTTCATAAATAAATGATGATGTTGAAATAACCTCTGGGAATTAGGCAATCGCTACCAAGCTATTTCACCCAATAAGTCTTTGTACCAGAGGCAAATTAAAAAAGTATTTCATAATAATAATAATGACCGAATTCCGGCCACGGCGGCCTGCCTCATCGGAGGCAAGCCGTCGGCGCAGGACAGGATTATAGTGCCCAACTGTATGCGCAGCACAGGTGCACTCTCTATTCCCACACTCTCATAATCCGATGGAATGGTAAAACGACACGACCGGAGAGAGATCAGGCACGGGACCAACGGCTTTACGTGCTTTCCGAGGCACGGGGGGGGGGGGGGGGAGAACTCAATAATTGATTTTTTGGCCCGACCCGGGATTCGAACCCAGGACCTCATGATCAGCAGTCGCACTACTGCAACCACTACACCAACGAGGCAGTCATTTCATAATCTATATTAAAGATAAAAATTGTATTGTATTATCAAGTATTTTGAAATTGCATTAAAATAAATATTTTATGATCTATAAAGAGGTTGCTGAGTGGGATCGAAAGAGGACGGATCCCAATCGGTGACGACGTCACCGGGGCGCTCGTCACGGCCCTTCCCTTGATGATGGTATTCACCTCTTAGAAATGGTGACCCTAGCGTTGCGGGCGCCCTAGTAATGTAGTCCTTAAGGGGCACGGTGACTAAGAAGTGATAGCAATGCGCGGATGCTGAGGGCAGTAAATACTGCCCTCAGGACATGATTTCAACAAAGCAAAGCGAAAAGACAGCCTCGATTGACATCTTGAAACACCTCGAATATGCTAATGGTGACTACTGTACGGTTTTAGCTGGTATTTATGAGGATTAGATATATAAAAAAACAGGTGGCACTATCGGGGCACTGGAAATCCCAAAATCCGTCAACCAAGCACTTTCTTTGATTCCATCAGCATTATCCGAAACCTCATATAACAGATTAATCTTAATGCTCAGGATTAGTCTTTTATATGAAGAGCCGAATACTTGTTCCAAAATTAAAAGTAGCAGCATTGCAGACTTATGAGTTAATAAATAAAAATTAACCAAAACTATCGATTAGCATATTAAAATAAAGGAATTTAAAATGGGATTACAAAAATATATATAAGTTGTATGTTTAAATTTAAGTATGTTTGTAAATTTTTTTTATTACCGTACCGTATCTTCCAAATGGCTAGATGGATTTCAAGAATTATTAAGGTATCGTTTTATTCTTCTTAAAAACCCAAGTGTTCATAGATAGTTTTTTGAAAATAAACAAAATGGCGGATTTTTGGCGCTAAATAGTAAATATGTTAATAAAAAAATTATCTGAATAAAATAATCAAAATATAATAAATATTAATAATTAAAATAAAATATTAACCTATCGAATATAAGTTGTATTTTAAAATTTAATTAGGATTAATAAACTGGTTTAAAAAGTTCTGATAGCTGGTTTATATAATAGGCAATCTTTGTTCCGGACCTCGTGCTATTATATGAAAAAATATATTTAAACGAAACAAATAAATTGTTTTCAATAAAATTTTAATCGTATACTTTCAAGTTTAGAAGAAAAATTTTATAAATAAACACCGCTTATTTCAGGAAAAATACATCGACCTTTCTAACTCGCATAGTTTTTGAGAAATAGTCAAAAACCTTTTCACAATAGAATAAGTTCGACACCACTAACTTAGATGGCGTTGTTAGGTGATTTGATATTCTGAATCTGAATTACGCAAGGGTTACGTTCAATAAGTAGGTTAGGTATCGGTTTTCGCTTAAATGTAATGCAATGTAAAGTAATGCATTATATCCAACAATATAGTAAATAGTTGAATAAAAGTTATTACTTATTGCTTATAAATAAAATAGGAATATATCTATTCTGAGTTTGTCTGCGTGGTATGGTCTTTCTTTGGTCGTATAAGTGTGCTTGTGCTGGTATTGGTCGTTCGTTAGTTTACTCCCGAATTCTATCCTAATTCGTATGCTAAATCTTGTAAAGAAGTTAGTTAAACTCTTCTGTTTTAGCTGTATGTAAGGCTGTAATTTATGTCCTGGACCCTAAAACATACGGCCTGAAATGAAAATGAAATTCTGAAAAAAGAATATATAGCGTAATCGGACGATCCCAATAAAACATAGAGTATATCAAACATGATAAAACTTGGCATTGAATCACGAGCAATGTGAAGGCGCAATATAAATGTTAATTATGGACTAGTCAATGATGCTATGGGGGTAATCCGTAACATGAAATGGCCTGCTTGACGCCAAGACCAGCTGGAAGTGGGAGAACTGCATCAAGCTGTATTTCTTGAGTTTGATGACTCTAGTATAACTGGCAAGCGACCCGGCAGTGGTGTCTGAATTGATTCTTGTAAATTAGTTGGATGTATGTATTTATTTTTAAACATCACCTATAATAACTGACCGAGCTTTTTCAAACTCTAGTATCAACGTTTTATTTGATCTTCCCATATCGATAAGTCAGTATGGATTGACGAATCGCGATTTATATATATATATATATATATATATATATATATATATATATATATATATATATATATATATATATATTACGTGTCACGTTGTTTGTCCGCGATGTACTCCTAAACTACTTAACCGATTTTGATCAAATTTGCACATCGTGTGCAGTTTGGTTGAGAGATATGATTGATTTGATATGATTTGCCCATAAGTGACACACAATTCTTTTTTTGCGAATTGAAGGATTTTTAATAGAACATGACAAAGGGTCGTCGAAAAGGATAGAACAAAGTCTGCCCGGCGAGCTATTATATATATATATATATATATATATATATATATATATATATATATATATATATATATGTGTGGCTCCGACCGGATCAACATCTGCACTCAGGAGACTGTTTGCTAGCGTTGGCCGAAGTTGATCCGATATACAAATCCACCTTGCGATGGTTACAGAAAATGTTGATCCGATTTAAATGAGCCAATCAGAGCACAGCAAACGATTAGATAAACGATCGGATTGGCTGAATGCAGCCGCGACGTTGCCGTTTCGTATCTTTGGCGGTACAATCTACAGATTAAATGCGTGTTATGTAATGCATTCAGGGTGCTGTTTGGTCTACCTCGTTATTGTAATGCGCCGGGTATGTTCGCGGATGCGCGTGTGGATTGTTTCTAGACCACCATGGGTAAACGATGCACATCCCTGGTGCGCAGGGTGCGGGCCAGTTCCAATGGTATCCTGAGGGCATTTTCTGACAGGTTTGAGGTCAGTACCTGAACCATTGTAATATGGTGCACGCGCTGACTAATCGGGCCTGTCTTTTATATAATAGTTTTAAGTTTTACGAAAATTAGTTTTAAGTTTTGTATTATTACTAACATCTATGACCCTTGTGGTCGAAATAAACGACTTTTTTAACGAATTACTCGGCAACGCCCCTTCTTGTAGCGGAAGTGGTGGCAACGGCGACATAAGGTATTAGTCTGAGTGCATGTTTGCGTGCGTGCGTGCGTGCGTGTGTGTGTGTGTGTGTGTGTGTGTGTGTGTGTGTGTGTGTGTGTGTATGTATTGTGTGTGTGTGTGTGTGTGTTTGTGTACATATGTGTGCGTGTGCGTATGTGTACGTGTGTGTGTGTGTGTGTGTGTGTGTGTGTGTGTGTGTGTGTGTGTGTGTGTATGTATGCGTTTGTGCGTGTGCGTATGTGTGCATGATTGCGCGCGCGCTTGCGTGTTTGTGTGTGTATGTGTGTTTACCATAAACCAGTTAACATGTTTTCTACATCTTCATAATCAAGATTTTCAAGGACGCTTTTACAAAATTGATAGGTATAGAATCGAACTATTACATGAGATGTTATCATGAGACCTTACCTCCGGTCTTGATGGAGTGACCTGAAAATGTAATTCGGGATTACTAGTGGAACTCCTGGACTAGTAGAACTGGGTGTGCTGAGTTTGGGCTCGTTTTGATGATCATTATGATGAGTTCTTACCTCCGGACTTGCTGAAGTGCCCTGAAGGTGTACTTCGGTAACTAACACTGTAACACCTGGAGTAGTAGAACTAGGTATGCCGAGTTTGGGTTTGTTTTGTTAGTTATGATGAAACCGTCACAAAACAAAAGTTCTTTTCAATTTGTCTCTAGTAACAATAGGTATCCAAGTTGATATTCGGAAAAATGAATAACCTCGTAATAACTACTTTAGGGGCAGTATCGATATCCACTTACCAGCCACACTGTTTTTCGCTGTAACCATCTGTCCTTTATATGAGCCTCACTTGCCCTCACGCGGTACTCACTTTACTGCACTCCAGTGCACCCACCACCACCTCTGCCACCTACACCTCCACATCAACCACCGCACCCCTCTCTAAGCCTTCGTTCTCCACCTTCGCTACCTCCGCCTCCACCATAAACTCTGCTCCATCCGCCTCAACAATAAACTCCGCTCCCTCCGCCGCCACAACCACGCGCCATAAGCACATACACAAACACAAAACAACAGTGGACACACGCACGCACACACGCACACACTCGTATCCACACACAAAAGCAAACACACGCACAACCGCACACACACACACACACACACACGAATAACAGTTAACACACGCACGCACACTGCACACGCGCACGCACATGCGTTCACACGAACACACATGAACGCACATACACCCACACGCACGCGCACACAAAAACTCGCATAACACACACACACACACACACACACACACACACACACACACACACACACACACACACACGAGTGACAAATTAATTTGTAATAAAGTACTATCCATCATCTTCTAAGTGATCTATGACAAATGAATAAAATAACACAAATTCACTCACACGATAACAAAAACTCGAACAAACGTCTTTCCACAATAAAACCTGCCAAAGTTTGATCCACAAAATCAGCAGGTAACGTATTTTCTTACCTTATTACGTTGAGTTATACAAGA